CACCTGGAACTCCTGCCAGTGGTGAAGACTGGGTCATTTCTGGGAATGCTGCTTAGGGGGCGGCTCTCAGGATCCCTAAGTGGCACCCACTTTGTGCCCACAGGAGGTGTGGGTTTTATTGGCTGTAATGCCAAAGAGGTCCTTACCTGCAGGGACCAGCCTGAGTGGCAGCCAAGCAAGCTCCTTGGAGCATTTTCCAGTTCTGGAGAGAAAGGCAGCAGTTGAGTCACTGCAGCCCTAACTGCTTCCACTGAGGTGCCTCTTTGTCTGATGTCATTCCTGTGCCTGGGACAGAGACCACACAGTCATTTCACAGATGTCACATACTGTCGGGTGTGGCCCAGCTGGTCAACTCAGCGTCCAAAATTTTATGAAGTTGGTGCTTCAGGGAGGCCACGTGGTGCACTGGTAATGCACTTGGAGTCTAGAGCCAGACCTTTGCATTTGGATCCTGGCCTTTTACCACTTACTAGCTCTATGCCCTTGGGAAAGTAACTTAGCTTCTCCATGCCTGTTTCCTCATCTGTAAAAGGGGGTAATAATAGTATCTGCCTGGGAGGTTGTTGTGAGGATATGGTGCTTAGCATACACTAAGCACTTGGTAAGTGTTAGTTGCTATAATTATTATGTGTGAGATGGGTAGGATGGCCTGATGATGACTTTTTTTCAAGTTTGGGAGAGGATTTCAGGCTTCCTACTCAGAATCCCTGAGGGACTGCTGAGCGCTGTCTCCAGGACCCACCCTTGACTTTTTCTACCCTTCTCCCAGTACCTGCTCTTTCCATCTTTACGACGTTTCCGTGGCCCCCCCACCAGTCACCCCCATGATTAAAGAGGGTGCCGTTAGAACCAGAAAACCACAGTTTGAGGTCTTGCTCAGCCACACACCGCCAGTTGAGCTTAGGTGTTTTACTAAGCTTCTTTGAGCAGAAGTAGAGAATTTGGGGTGACCTAAGGCTACAAGGTCTTTCATAAAGGGGCTATGATAAGAAAATAAAGGGCACACATTGGAAATACCTGGTGCTTCTCCATCGGAAGTTTAAGATTTACTTGCCTGAATAAGATGTAAGACTTAAGACCTAAGACCTAACTGTACCTATGAAGGAAAAAGATTCCAAATAATCTTTGTTCTTTCTCCCTGGTCCTTCCCTTGGAGTGAACTGGGAAAAGCACCTGAGTGGGCATCAGGAGACTTGGGTGCTCTTTTTTTAAAAAAAAAAAAATTATTTGAAAGGCAGAACAAGAAACAGACAAAAGGAGAGAGAAAGAGAACTTCCATTCATTGGTTCACTCCCCCAAATGACTACAATAGCCCGAGCTGGGCCAGGCCAAAGCCAGGAGTATGGAACCCAGCTGGCACCCAGTTCATTTTTTTCTTAGTACTTGATGCTATCTTTTCAGATTATTCTTTGTCTCCAGTCCCCACCCCTGTGGACAGCAGCCTGTCCACACTTCCAAGCCCCTGGTAAGTAAGCTGTATGTAAAATAGGGGCCTTGTCAGGGTTAATCAATGGAGTTCCTGGAACATTTTAGGTACTTAATAAATGTAGACATCCCTATACACATGAATGTATCAACTGTGCATGATATTGTAGTTACATAAATTTGTCTGCAAAGACTTTTAAGTAGTAGGTTGATTATTTTTTCCCTCACCTATTCCCCACTTTGTTACTTGGGGATCAGAAGAATAGAATTAAGAATGGTATACTCCCTATCCATAAGCAATCAAGGTAGCAGTGCCAGAACGCTCCCCTTGTGTTTGCATATAATAAGTAGCAAAAGACAGTGGCTCCAGACATTGAGGAAGCCACGGATTTAAGGGCTGATGACTCTTGACCATAATGGCCGTGTGCCAAGAATCTGCACTGTAAGTTGGAATCTACTTTGTTTTGTTTCTAAACATGGTGGAGATGGTTGACAGGAGGCAGAATATAACCTTTAGAATTCTGCTCACACATATCATTGAGATTTCATATTACTTTTATTATTTGGCCACAAAAATGGACATAATCCTTGTTGGCTTTAACACACCTACTAGTACTGCTTTCGCTATCCATCTTGCAAAATATAAGACAAGGCCAGAGCTTAAATTAAAATCCTCAGCTCCTTATCTCCTTTCCACAGGAAAGCAAATCTATGTTGAAAACCGTAAAATTAAGAGGAGAGCAAGGATAGCATAATTTAGCAAAAATTCATGGCACTAGATTCTGAGCTATATGACTGGAGGGATAGGTCAGACATTAAGAAGATGCTGCCTGCTAATGCAAGTTCCTTAAGGTAGAGCTCTGGAAACAAGAAAGGCATGCAAAAAGAGAGGGGAATAAACCACATCTATTTCTTTATATATTTTGCAGGAGACTTCCACAATGCTTAACTCTTTACATAACTACCCCAAGAAAATATCTTTTTAGATTATTTGGTCATTATGCTTCTTTCAAGACTTTCAAAATGAAACTCAAAACAGTTATTTTAAATTATAGTGGAAATATCTTCATTTTATCACTTGAGTGTTGAGATTCTTGTTTCTGTTGTACAAAGGATTTATGATAATATCCTTCCACTAGCACCTCTTCCTCTAGCATACTAAATTGTGTTTAAGAAGCTCATTCTGTGTACCTGGCAAACTGTATCATTAGCACTTGAAAAGCATTAAAAAGATTTTTAAAAACCCTTTGCACATTTATATGCATAGATGTTTATGTTGGGTTGTATGGAGAAAAATCTTGTGGCTTTAATAATGGCGCTGTACTTAATAAATGCCAAAAGCACTATGAGCTGTGTAAGTTTTCCCATTAGAGAGGAGCTGACAGTTCTAAAGTGGGAAAATTAAATCATTGTTCAAAAAAGTGGGATTCTCCCCACTTTGCTGTTTTTTCCCCCTTCATAAGTTTCTTTTGGATGAAAGTTGCAACAAAGATAGGTATAAAGAGAAGTGAGTGTTAGTGGGATAATTGCTCCTCATTTAGGGCGATCCTTCTCCTTCTCACCTAATTAGTAAAGAATGCCAAATTCTGATTCAGTGTATGTTACAGGTGCGGCCACCATGCAGCAGCAGTTGTAGGGGCCTGTGTTTCAGGAACTGTCTCAGTTTTTTGTTTTTTTTTTTTAATTTGCTTCTAGAGAAATGATTTCACATGTGTTATAGTCTGTAGTTAGTAAAATTTCACTAATTCAAGCGAAGTATGAAGGCATGTCTGAACTAGTGAACTCATTATATCCTCTTCCTCTTCAATCCATGTTACTCATGGCTATAGCATTTCTAAACAGAGATCTTCCTGAGAATGCTTTAATTAGTAGATGACTTTGAAATCAAACATCTTTTACATGTATATAATTGTATTGAGGTTTCTTTTTTCTTTTGAGAGGGGTTGTGGTAGTTTTAAGAAAATTCTCTTTGAAATTGACAGATAAAATTGTATGTGTTTGTGTCCAACATGTTTTGAAGTGTGTCAGTGTTGTGAGTTGATTAAATCTAGCTAATTAACATATGTACCACCTCACACAGAGTTTTCATTTTTGTTTTGAGAACATTGAACATCTACTTTTACCATTTCTCAAGAACACAATATCATTAGCTAGAGGTTTTTTGAAATAGCCCCCATCCCCTTAGCTTAAACCTGCTTGATTCTTGTTTGTATTGTTAATTTACTTAGTAAGCACTTTCTTGAGAGAAAACAAATAACCAACTTAAACGTTGTCTGCAGTCAAAATGATCATAGATTTCAACTTGATTGACATACAAATAGATAACCTGAACCTTTAAAAAATACTATTGTTATATGCAAGGATGGGGAACCTTTTTTCTGCCAAAAGCCATTTGGACATCTATAACATCATTTGTGCGCCATATAAAATTATCTGCTTAAAAATTAGATTCATAGGTCTGGCACTGTGGCGCAGCAGGTTAAGCCACTGTCTGCAGTACCGACATCCCATTTGTGCGCTGGTTCATGTCCTGGCTGTTCTACTTTCCATCCAGCTCCCCAGTAACGTCCCTGGGAAAGCAGCAGAAGACGGTCCAAGTCCTGGCTTTGGTCTGGTGCAGCCATTTGGAGGAGTGAACCAGCCAATGGAAGATTGATTCTCTCTCTCTTCCTTACTGTAACTCTCAAATAAATAAAATAAATAAATCTTTAAAAAAAATTGAGTGCTGCCTGCAGTTGCCTTGGCAGGGCCAGACCAAATGATTTCTCAGGTCTTCTGTAACCTGCAGGCATTCCCCACCCTTGCTATATAGTTTTGGATTTTCAAATTAAATAATAAAATTCATTTCAAGTATGTTAAAACAATGATAATTTAAAATGTCTCTACAAGCTATATTTTATGTTATAGAGTTCAAGATTGAAAATTCTCTGTGGTCAATACTTACAGAAACTAGAGGATCAGGAGATGAACTGAACAGGGGCTAAAGCATGATGGATAGTTACGTTTGACTGGCAAAGCTATCTGAAATGTGAACAGATGGTGTAGCGTGGTTCATAAGGATGTGCAGCTACAGAGTTAATGAATTCTAGAAGGGAAAATAAGACCGAAGTTTATATTCATTGGGTTGTTTAAAAATTTGCTCTTCAAATTGGCAGTATTTATTCATTGGACAGTTTTGTATTGAGTGATTTTTTTTTGTTCCAGATATATGTAATGCATACAGAGCTTACAAAACATCCATAGTGTTTGCTCCAGTAAATCTTTATGGAACTTAACCTGAGGATGTAAATATGTATTTACAGAGATTCATCTCAGATGGAATAATAGTTATCAACCTGAGTCACTAGAGAGGCGTCAGTGAAATGACTGATAGTCTCTGGGTGGGCTAGGCATGGTCTTGAGCACTTAGCACAGAGCAGGTCCGGAGACCTCAGTGAGATGATTTCAGTTGTCAGGGTCTGAAGATGATGCTTTCTGCTAATTACTGATTGTGGCTGTTCTGTGACTTTTACTTTGGGAAGCAAGACCAGAGCTGGGCACCCACTTTAACTGCTGACCTTGTGGTTCCCTTGCAGTCAAACAAAGTGCCCGTGGTGCAGCCCTCCCATGCAGTCCATCCTCTCACCCCCCTCATCACCTACAGCGACGAGCACTTTTCTCCAGGAACACACCCGTCACACATCCCATCAGATGTCAACTCCAAACAAGGTAAGAGCCCTGCCTTCCCAGGCCTCTCTTGCTCAGTAAGGAGCGAGTCTCGTCTGTCCAAGGGACCCTCCTCGTGCCTTGGCCTCACATCACTGGGTAGAGTAATGCATCTGATAATGGTTCTTTGGAAACCACAGGAATTTACTGCTGTTTTATTTTTCAGGATTAACCAACACAAAAACAGGCCACAGTAGGATCATTTTCCAAATGAAATTTCTGAAAAAAAATCTGTGATGTACAATATAAACCAGTATGTTGTACAAATATTCTAAAAATTTGATCCTTTGCTGTGTTGATTTCAGCATGCACAGTAATTCCCCGTTATCTGAGGAGGGTACCCTCTAAGATGCCTGGTGGATGCCTGAAACAGGATGGGACCAAACCACAAATTTAGTGCCCTTGCTATTTTAAGTCAGCACTTACCATGTACTGTGACCATAACTTGTAGTTAGAGGTGCAACACTGACATTAGCATGAATTTCAGTTTCCTTCTTCACAACGTCATGGGTAGAAGAAACCTTACTAAAATCTCCTGGTAAGAGATCTTAGCAATGTCAGAATGTGATTTTTTTTTTCTTACTAAGCCAAGAACTTCTGCCTTTTCACTTAAAGAATGGATTTTGTTGCTTCTCGTAGACCTCCCTGAATGGCCATTACTTTTGTGCTTCAAGGCCATTATTAAATAAAATAGCAGTGACATGAGTGGAAGCACCGCAGCGTCCCAGTGGTCAGTCTGTCACTGCAGTGACTGCCACGGGAGAGGGCAGGTGGCGTATCCAGCACAGATATGCTGGATGAAGGGATGACTCAGGTCCTGGTGTGATACGTGGGACAGCTGCATACTGCCTCAGCTGCGCAGAATGGCGCGCAGTTTAAAACTTGTGATTCTTTAAAAAATGTGTTTATTTTTTATCCGAAGGCAGAGTTACAGAGAAGGAGGGAGAGACACACAGAACTTAAGAATTCTTTATTTCTGGAATTTACCATTTCACATTTTCAGACCATGGCTGATTGTGGGTAACTGAAGAAGACGTACGTGTGTGTGTGTGTGTGTATTTCAGTTAGAAAAGGGGCAGAGTAGAATACTTAAAACATTATCCTTTTAAGCCTCTTGTGATTTTTTTTTTGACTATTTTATTTATTATTTGAGAGTTAGAGTTATAGACAGTGAGAGGGAGAGACAAAGAGAAAGGTCTCCCTTCACTCCCCAAATGGCCGCAATGGCCGGGATCTATGCTGATCAGGAGCCAGGAGCTTCTTCCTGGTCTCCCAGAGAGTCCCACTGCGCCACGGTGCTGGCCCTGTGATTTCTTTTGATTTTCAGTTATATTCCTATTGTATTTTATCCTTCTTTGTTAATTCCCAGAACCAGCTTAGATATTATAAATGGTAAAGGACAAAACCATCTGTATTTAAAATCAAAGCAACAGGAATCCTATGTTGGTCCTCTACCTAAATACCAAGTTCTACTTCGACTTCATGTACAGAAAATATACAGTATCAGAGGTCTGAACAATTAAATGTCCAGTTTTTGACTAATGTGTATGAGTTGGAGATAAGACCGTCTCATTCTCCGAGCCAACATCTGGTCCCATCTGCTTAGGGAAAATTTCAAGGCTGGATTTGCTCTCGGAGCGGCTTGTTGCTCTTTCTGTTTACATGTACACTTGAACTTCAGTAATGTTTCTGAAAGTTCAGAATAACAGACCTTACAGAATTACATTAAGGCAAAATATGACAGGGTAAATTTTGCCACTGCCTGCATTTCACCCTCTTATCCTGCCTTATCTTTGACCTTTAATGGACAATAAATTTTAAAAAAATATTTATTTGAAAGGCATAGTGACAGAGAATCAGGGATGGAGGAGGGGGGAGAGAGAGAGAGAATTACCTACTGGTTCACTCCCCCAAATGCCTACAGTAGCAAGGACTGGGCCAAGCTGAAGCCAGGAGCCTAGAACTCAACCCAAGTCTCCCAGGTTGGTGGCAGGGGTCCAGATACTTGGGTTACCAGGAAGCTGGAGCAGAAGCAGAGTAGCTGAGACTTGAACTGGCACTAAGATATGGAATGTGGCCATCCCAAGTGCAACTGAGCCCTCTGCCTCAACACCTGCCTCTGGACTAAAAAAAAAAAAAAAATTTGAGTGCCTAAAAAAGAGAGGGATTGAGAGGCTAGGTGTTCTTTCCTTTGCTGTTAAAACTTCCAGGTGAAATATTTAATGTCTTCAGTTCCTTCTGTTGTTAAAATAGAACTTTTCCTTGAAGATTTAATTACCAGCTGTTAGACTTGCACTTGAGAAGAGCCCAGATACCTTTAGTTAGGAAAAGTAAGAATCACTATGCAGACAGTTCCAGCTTTGTTCCTGTCCCCAGTCTTTCCTCCACTTTGCTTCCCTTTTATCAAGAAACACCAAAGAATAAAAAACAACAAAAAGGTCTGGATATATATACATCCATACACAAACACACACACACACGTGGGATATATATATTTATATATATATTTCTCTTTCTTACTCTCTGCCTCTCAAAAAAACCTTTTTTTTAAAGAAGGCTGAGTTCGAGAGGGAAGGTGAACAATATGGTCTTGGTACTGGCAAGTTTGAGGTGTCTAAGATATCTGAAGGGGGGAGCACGAGCTGTGTGAATCACAACCTCGGACCACCAGCTAAGCTGGACATAAGCATCTGAGAACCACAGAGAGGTGGATGACAATTGAACAGACTTAGACAATCCTCAATTAGCAAAAAGAATGAAGTACTGTTTTAGTTTTCAACTATCTATTTAACAATTGTGATTACTATGCCCAACATCTGTCAGATGAACTTTGAAACAATAACTTATTTAAAAGAATAGCACAGAATGATTCAGTAGTTTTTCTCTCAAGAATTCTGGAACAACCCAGTGTGTGTGTGTGTGTGTGTATGTTTTTTTTTGTTTTTTTTTTTTTTTAAGATTTATTTATTTGAAAAAGTTATACACACAGACAGGGGGATGCTTCTATCCACTGGATTACTCCCCTGTTGGCCGCAACGCCCAGAACTGAGCCTATCTGAAACCAGGAGCTTCTTCTTAGTCTTGCACATGGGTGCAGGGGCCCAAGAATTTGGGCCATCTTCTGCTACTTTCCCAGGCCATAGCAGAGAGCTGGATTGGAAGTGGAGCAGCCGAGACTCAAACAAGCACCCATGTGGGATACCTGCACTGCAGGCAGCGGCTTTACCCGCTATACCACAGTGCCGGCCCCAACAACCCGGTTTTAAAAAGAGAAGTTAGGACTGGCGCCGCCGCTCACTAGGCTAATCCTCCGCCTGCGGCACCGGCACCCCGGGTTCTAGTCCTGGTCGGGGCACCAGATTCTGTCCTGGTTGCTCCTCTTCCAGTCCATCTCTCTGCTGTGGCCCGGGAGTGCAGTGGAGGATGGCCCAAGTCCTTGGGCCCTGCACCCGCATGGGAGACCAGGAGGAAGCACCTGGCTCCTGGCTTCAGGATCAGCGCATTGTGCCAGCCGCTTGGGGGATGAACCAAGGGAAAAGGAAGACCTTTCTCTCTGTCTGTCCCTCTCACTGTCCACTCTGCCTGTCCAAAAAAAAAAAAAGAACTAGCAGTCAGTTACATTATATGTTTACTTTTTGTTTCCATATTTTACTGCTACACCTGTCTTATTTTTGCCTACTTACAATTTGTGTCATTGCTTCTCAGACTTTCCCTCTTTAATTTTCTTTATTTAAGAGGCCAAGACACAGAAACAGATAGAGAGCTCCCATCTGCTGGTTCAGTCTGCAGATGCCTGCCAATAGTCGGGCATGGGCCAGGGCCAAAGCTGGGAGCCAGAAGCTCAATCCAGGACAGGACAGGAACCCAGTTTCTGGAGCCATCACTGATGCCTCCCAGAGTCTGCATTGGCAGGCAGTGGGAATTAGGAGCCAGGGCTGAGAATCGACCCAGGCACTCTGATAGGGGACACAGGAGTCTTAGCCGATAGCCTAAATACTCACTGCATGAAACTTTTTTGTCTTTTTAATGAACTCCGCAGTACTACAGACAAGAGACTAGTGGACACGACCAGAAGTTGAGCGCTTGCAGCTTCTTGAGTCTTTATTGTGTCCTAACAGTTGATGTGATTATTGTATTCCATTCCACACACTATTTGTGCTTGTTTTAATGTAAAGTTTCTGGACTTAATTTCATGTTTGTCCTGAGATTTCATTTACCTCTACCTGTTGGGGAATATGTAAACTCTGATTTGAAAAGCACTCATTTACATGATACTGAGTTTATATAATTCCCTTTGGTTAATTTCATTGCCAAAAAAGTAAGCCTACTAGGTCTCTCGTTTTTACTTTTTCTCTCTGCCTGCCTGCCTGTGTTTGGGGTATTATATTGTAGCTCAAATGATAGAACAAATGAACCAGTGAATTAAAACTTGTAAGGCCAGAGTTGCTGTTTTCAAGATTCCTAGTAAGCTAATTAGCTTTATCCAGAAACAAAACCCAAGGAGTAGCAGGTCCATACTCTAACCCTAGATAGAACGATTCAGTGAATTGAAACAGTTTGTCAGCAGTACTCATTCTCAGTTGTGGAAAAATAACTTCCTAGTACTTCAATTTTAATTTCCTATTAGGGTGCTCATCATTGTCACCTCTATGTGTATCCAAAAAGTTGCAAAGGGTTTTAGGTACCTGTTTGTTTATCACTATTATACGTTTTATCAATACACATGATAACAAATAATTACATAGCACTTGGATTTGTACCAGGTACTTCCCCAGCATTATATATATTGATTTATTCTTCCCAATAACATTTATTATGTTATTTTTCTGATTTTTTCAAAATAATAACAAATAACTTCCTTAAAGACATATAGCTGGAGGCCACATTGTGGTCTAGCAAGTAAAGCCAATGCCAACATCGGCATCCCTTGTAGGTGCTAGTTCGAATACCGGCTGCTCTGCTTCCGACCCAGGCCCTTGCTAATGACCTGAGAAAAGCAGCAGAACATGGCCCAAGTGCTTGGGCCTCTACCACCCATGTGGGAGACCTGAACAAAGCTCCTGGCTTCAGCCTCTTGGCCACCGTAGCTATTGTGGCCATCTGGGGAGTGAACCAGCAGATGGAAGGTTGGTCTCTCTCTGTCTCTCTAAGACTTTCAAATAAATAAATCTTAAAAACAAACAAACAAACAAACAAACAAAAAAAACAGACATAGCTGGGGCCTAATGTTGTGGTGCAGTGTTAGCTATCGATTGCAACAGCAGCACCCCATATCAGGGAGCCAGTTTGAGTCCTGGCTGTTCCACTTCTGATCCAGAAGGCCAGAGGACAAAGCCAAGGTGTAGCTTGAGTTCTGGCTTCTGGTTTCTGGCTTCTGCCCAGTCACTATGTTTTAAATAAATATATTTTTTTAAAAAAAGATGTAGTTAGTACATAACCTGGCATAACCTTACAGTCTGAATTCACAATTATTTCATCTAATAAGACCTTCAGAAAGTTCATGTAAAATGTATGATTATGAAAAAGGTATGCATGGATTTCAGATTTTTACTCCAAAATAAACTTACCTTTCCATACCATTTTCCACCACTTTTTGTAAATACTTCATGTATTTACAGAAGTTAATTACAAGGTTAAAAATCTTTAAGGCTACGTTGAGTATATCCTCTAGCATACAGGACATTTTTAGTAAATACTAGATTAATAAATGGTGTGAAATGTGCTTCAGTTTGCATGGCAGCTGGCAGAGAGGAACGTACTTCTAGGAATCTGGAAACAGAGTCTTAAATGTACATTGAGCTGTTTAGAAACTCCAGATCCGTTATCCATTCATACAGTGACCCAAGCCACATCACAGACATGCTTAGTAATACTGACCTGGTATAGGAAATGGGTCCATTTATTTCACTGGTTCGTTTGTTGCAATTATTTGTAAATATTCACTGAGGGCCTTTTCTAAAGACAGCCTTGTTTTGATACACAGATTGGCAAGGTATAAACTAGAAGTTGTAAATTTAGAGGAGAAAGAGATTTCTCAGAGTGACAAAAGTTAGAAGAAAATTGCCTAGGAGAGGGGCATTTGAAATAGGAGTAGAATTTCTTGAGAGCACATGTTGTGGCATAGCAGGTAAAGCTGCTGCCTGTGATGCCAGCATCCCTAATGAGTACCGGGTTGTGTCCTGGCTGCTCCATTTCCAATCCAGCTCCCTGCTAATGGCCTGGGAAAAGCAACAGAAGATGGCCCAAGTGTTTGGACCCCTGCCACCCACATGGGAGACCCAGATTGGCCTGGCCCAGTGCTAGCCATTGTGGTCATCTGGAGAATGAACCAGCAGATGGAAGATCTCTCTCTTTCTAACTCTGACTTTAAAAATAACTAAATCTTAAAAAAAGAGTAGAATTTCAGTAGATAAAAATGCAGTCAACTTACCAGCATAGGACCTAGCACGGAGCAGGTAATAAGTGAGTGATGGTTGCCACCTTCCTTCTACAGAAATAGGGGATCCAACTAGTTTGTGTGTGTGTTCTGTTGGCTCACTCCCACATAGACTCCCTGCCACTGGGTTCTCAGTGTCCATGGAACATGGGCTAGGAGCAGGACAGAGTTCTAAGGTTGTCTGCTTAAAGATAAGTGGCAGCTAGTGAGTTGCCTCTCTGGGTCCCACTGGTGTTACCGGTCGCAGCGGGGTGGGCGGTTGCTGGAATGAGTTTCATGGGTTCTTTTCCTCAGATTAGTATAGAAATAAAAAGCCTAAAAACAATTTGCAAAGAGGCAGAAACTTTTATTTGACAGAGAAGCATCCAAGAGGAGACCAGGCGGAGTGCCCAAAGGGGACACTGGCTTTCAGGAAGTGCCCAGGGTTTTTAAGGCATTCTGTGGGGGTGCCCATTGGATGCAGGGTTCACATACTGTATGTTGATTGGCTTGGGGCTCGTGGAGATAGCTGGTCTCCTTTAGGGGTTCAGCCCCCTCCTCTGCTACCTCTGGGTGAAAGATTGCACCCGCCCTGAAGGTGTGATTTAAAAGCGCAAGGTCACAAATGCAGCACAAGAAGCTGTTAGTGGGGACATGCTGATCGGCCTGGAGACAAGTTTCCCAGCCACAGCTGATAGGCTGCTTGTGACAGACATTCTGCCTGTGCCTGAGGGGCCCACAGACCTCCCAGCGCCACCAGACGGCCCCACCCAGGACAGAGCACATTTTCTATGTCCCCAAAAACAGATACTTGAGCAGTCACTTCATCACTCCAGAACTGAATTTCTACATCTGCAAATGAAAGGAATTAAAGTAGATAATTCAGCTAGGTATGACCTATAATCATGGTTTGCAACTTGGGAAGGTCATTGAGATTTCCATCAAGCTTCTCATGTTCTAAGTTGGTCTGGTTGTATTTTTCTTCAAAAGCGAGAAATCCCCCTGAGGACGCTGAAATATGGGGAGGCATCTGGACTTCAGAACGAGGGAGGCAGCGAGTGGAAAGACTCTCAGTGACTGAACCATCAAGGATCACCTCTGCAGCCTCCCTTAGGATCCACACTGCCACCTGGACCTTCTCACACACCCTTCTCCCCCCAGGTCCCAGTCCACTGGCCTCGCACTCCACCGTAACCAAAAGAATCAGTATTCTAGAAAAAAAAATTCAGATGATTTCAGAGTATTGCTTTAAAAATGCCAAGCATGAGATAATCTCATGTAAACTCTCTGTTGAGACATTAAAGTCAGTCCTCCTTCCTACCTTGCATTCTGTAATATCCAGAAATAGTTTGTGATAACTTCAAAGTCAAATTGATATCAGCAGGGGGATAGCACTGTGGCATAGCAGGTAAAGCTGCCACTTGCAGTGCCAGCATCCCATATGGGCACCAGTTCAAGTCCCGGATGCTCCACTTCCAATCCAGCTCTCTGCTATGGCCTGGGAAAACAGTGGAAGATGGCCCAAGTCCCTGGGCCCCTGAAACCATGTGGGAGACTCAGAAGCAGCTCTTGGCTTTGGATTGGCACAGCTCGGGGCATTGCCACCAATTGGGGAGTGAACCAGTGGATGGAGGATCTCTCTCTCTCTCTCTCTCTCTCTCTCTCTCTCTCTCTCTCTCTCTGATTTTCAAACAAATAAATCTTAAAAAAAATTAACATCAATTTCGAGGGCAGCACTTCTTAAAGTCATTCCCCTATGTTCAAAGCCTTCTATATCTTTTAAGATCCAAGTGAAATTCATAGGCTTTTTTAAGTAGTAATAATAAAAAAAAAAAAACAGAATATTTAAAGGATCTCCTTCATGCACTTATCTAATTTCACAAATTAGCCAGTGTATTTCCCAACACTGAGGCACGATCAGGGAGGGAGAGGGTCAGACCTTGGAGTATGAGTTTACATGTGGACCCCCAGTCATTTAAAGACTTAATTCATTGTGTGAGGAAACTAATGTGGCTCTTTTTCACTCAGAATCGCTTTCCCCAAATACAGTAAATTTAGGTCTTAGTAATTTCCACATTTTCTTGTCTTTTTTTTCCTCCTGTACCTAAGATAAGGTATAAACAAAGGGGTGCCATGTGGGACTAGGATTAGGCAAAATCTTTAGGTGGTTTTCACAGTGATAGGACAGTGTACGCCAGGGAGTTGCAAGCTCCAGAAACAATTTGGTGGCACTCTCATTTTCTGTGCATACAACTAATCCAGAACAGCTTGACCTTGGAGCCCAGAGGACTCAAGTCGATGAAGAGCTTAGTTGGAGCTAAAGTGGCAGAGACCAAATGAATCATATCAAGTGTGACCATTGTGGGGCAGAAGATGATTCCTAATTAATCTTTGATCCTCTGAGGTGTCACATTTCCCCAATCTGTATGTCCATAAGGGAACCAATGCAAGTATGAAAGTGGCAATTTACCTAATCCTTGAGTACCATGGCAGGCCATGCATTCATATGGGGCTGTCACTTTTCTATTCTACACAAAAACAGTTGTCTACCGTTTTCTTAACCAAAGTGAAATAATGAGGGCAGAGTAAATCATCTAGGCGGCTGTTTAGGAGGCCGTTTCGTTGGCTGCATGTTTCCTCCTTCAGGAGTTCCTCGGGACCTACAAAGGATCTTCACTCGGTTCATGGAAAATGTGTGCTGTGAAAAAAGTATGCACGAATTGAAAAAATGAAGTTGTTTTTGCACTAACATAACTGGTCTTTTAATTCCATTTTCCACAAAGCTTTTGAAAGTATCCTCCTGCCAGCTGAAGTCCCTGTTTTCTCAGCTGTTGAAATCTTGAGAAAAGCTCACAAAGTGACTTCTGATCGTTGGATCAGATGAGTAAATATTGCTTCATGCTAGATTTTAAGTGTTAATGGCAGAAGGCATTGTTCATCACTTTTCCTTCGCTCTTCCGGTCAAGTGCCCTGTGTGTCCAAGCCTGATCGCTCTCTGTTGTTTTTTATAGGCATGTCCAGACATCCTGCAGCTCCTGACATCCCTACCTTTTACCCCCTGTCTCCTGGTGGTGTTGGCCAGATTACCCCACCTCTTGGCTGGTAAGCTCCCACTTGCAACCTTCATCCAGGTGGTGGAACACATGTTCTTCCACTTTGCATTCATGGACATTAGCTGCTTGAGTGGTAACACTTGAGGAGTTGAAGAAATTTCACATCAACAAGCAAGGTGCTAACTTTATTTCATTTCAATTTTAAAAGAGTAAAAAAAAAAAGCCAAACAGACTTTGAAATGGATTGAATCTGTTTGCTAATATGTGTAGAAAATGACTGTAGCATTTTGCTTTGAAGCTCTTAGTCTTATGGATTCAATTTGTGGCTTTGGGCATTTGCTATGCCTATACAAAGTTAGTACTCAGTGTGGTTTTTCTTCTCCGTTATTTTTATGAAAAACTTACTATTTTTGAAACATGAACTTAGACATATTGAATATCTACCTTTGCTTATAAGTGAGCAAGTAAGGTAAATGACAAATAAGTTGAGAGAAATTCAATGAAATTAAATCATCTTTTGATTTTTAATAAAATAAGCATCCAGTCTGAGTTCAGAGGATTCAGAAACACTGGTTTTAGGGCTTTCATTTTTTTCATAATCCAAATGGCTAATGTTCTTTATTTTGTTTATTTCCAAAAACATTGCTGTCTTTGAAATTTTTAAAATTATGCAAATGAAGGAAATATATTTTGGGAAGAAAATAACTATGTCGTAGAGCCTATTTCTGTGGTTTGATTATTAGCATACAGCTTTTCCTCTTCTCACTGCCACCCCTCTCCATTCTCCCCCCACTCATTTCTGCCTCCAGGGAAACAAACGATGCTTCAACTTTTGAGCAGAGGTTCCTCTGCCTCCTCCATTTGGCCGTCTACCCACAGCCCCTGTCTCCCTATGCAGATGTCCAGACATTGTCTCTTCCCCTAGGCGTCCCAGTGTGCTTGCTCAGTCCTTCCCTTTCTGTCTCTGTCTGTAGATGAGTAACTCTATTTGAACTTAAGTGATATGTGTACACTTTCAAACCTAGATCAATTATTCTGTCTGAACTTCGCCACTTAGGGGCGATAATCCTGTGTCCCCCTGCGTCTCTGGCAGCTGCAGTCAAGACTGTAAAAGGAAACGTGCCAGAGGTGGAAAGAACAGAGGGAACGGTAGACTTCTCTGGGGCCAGAGAAGATACCTCCAGTGCATTGCTCGTTTGTTTCTGGACTCTCACACATGTCTGCGGGGGCAGGGGGATGCAGCGTTTTCAACACATTTGTCCGTTTTCATGTGACCATGAACGTGTATGTCCTCCTTTCTTCCCTTCCTTGACATTCTCGAAGATTCTGGTGCAGGATTCACTGAGCTCCTTTTTTCTCAGGAGTGCACTGAGTGTCCACGAAGTGCCTGCTTTGTTCCTGGTGGTAGTGAGGTTGGGAGTGGGGAAGGGATTTGTTTGCTTTCAAAGTTGAAGGCAGGAGATTTTCTTCAAGGTAAAGGATGCTGTGATTGGGTGGAGGGTAAGGAAAGGAAACCGTTATGCACCCGAAGAAACGCCATGGTCTGTAAACACCCCCACAAGGTTCTACAGAAACGTCCCCGACGTCTCCCCTCGCCAAACTCGTATTGCTGGTTGGTAACTGGTGTTTTGTCATTGACGGGTTCCTTTCTTCTGTGACCTCAGGCAAGGTCAGCCTGTATATCCCATCTCGGGTGGATTCAGGCAACCCTACCCGTCCTCACTGTCAGTCGACACTTCCATGTCCAGGTAGGTGGAGGAGGATCCCCGGGCACCCGAGGACAAGCGGCTCTTCCTTCTCCTGCTTGCATCTTGTGCGCCTCTGCTTGCCTCGCGGGCGGCTCGGAGGGGGCGTCTCAGCCACGCGTGTGTCTGCGCAGTGCGCCTGGCTCCCACACTAGGTGTCCTGGAGATCCCTGTTTAGGAGCTGCACGTTGCGCCCCTGCGGGACCAGCCACACGGGAGACACTGCCACCTGACCGTGGGATGAGAACTGTCCCGGAAACGGACGTTGTTAACACGAAAAGCTTGATTGAGCTTAGGGGTGGGGTAGGGGAGTAGGATAAACACTGGTGTGGTGTGAGTTCTGTAATTTTCTTCCTTTGAGGAAACTTGGAACAGCTGCGTGCAGCAGTGTTTAAAAACGCCCCCGCTAGTCCAGAGCCTCCGTGGACCACGGCCGTCGGGAGGGCGGGAACCGTGCTCCCAGGCTGTGGGGCCATCCCGCGTGTGCGTCCTAGTGTGTGAATCAGGCCCTGTGGGGACATGTCAGCGCGCGCAGAGCTCGGTGAGCGCTGCCACGCCACACTTTGAGGCTGCTTTGTGTAATGCTTTTGCTTCTGGAAAGGAAGGCTTCCGTGCCCTGTGCTTGGTGCGCACACCCGCGCGTGGTGTGTCATCTGTGCGTCCTGTGGCTTCCTCGTGGGATCCCAGTGTCCCTGCGCCTGGAGTCCAGTACGGGGCTCCTAATTGGTTGCGAATCTTTTTTTATGTAGGTACGAAATTCACAGTTTCTGTGGTGAATTTCAGCTTCAAAAATACTATCTTATTTGTTTAGTGAGTTGTAAATCTAGCTGGTTGGAGTGGGGGAATGGAATTAATATCCTTCCCCTTCAAATATCTTGATTTTTTTTTTTACACTTTTTAACAGTGTAAGAACCACCTAATGACAGGGTTATCTCACATGCAAATAAGTTAGCATAATTTATTTCTGCAAATAGTACATTTAGTATACATCGTTATTTGGTCCAATATTTGTATTTTCACCCTGGCTTCCTAATATTTTAAAATTTGCTTCTGAAATATGACATCTCCAAGCAGAGTTCCTTCTTTCCTTTCCAGATGAAGGAATTGTACAAGCTGTGATGAAAGACCGTGAATGTTGTGCTTGCTGAATTAAATGTTTACTTTGAAACCATTTGAAAAACAAAAATTTCTAAGCATACACAAAATTTGTCCAAAGCTGTTGTTGAAACTACCGTCTGTATTTGTTTTATTTTTCTTGCATGGCAGTTTCTCTCCTTTGTGTTGGCTGGTGGTGGATGTTTTCATGTTTTTTTACACTCTGCAGCCACATTCAGAAAAAAAGCCTTCAGCAGGTGTAATTTTTATCTTAATGCAAAAACTGTGTCCCTCTCTTTATTTAAATCCTTCCCCTTCATTCCGTTACCCGTTCTTCATGAGGCCGGATCTCTCAAACATGGCTCTGTTTCTGGATAGAAAGTCCTTTTTGATGATGTTAATGGAAATCAGACTAAACGAGGGGCTGAAGACAGCTTTCCTGTCCCTTTTCTCACTTGTCCTCTCGGAACACTAAGGAAGAAGCCAACAATATGAAAAGACTCTTGAGTGTGATGGTTTGTTTCACAGTGTAGGCAGAGATTTTTTTTTTAATGTGATGTCTTTAAGCTTTCATTTAAAAATCATTTTAAAAGCTAAATAATTTAATAAAGTGTTATATTTCTGATAATTACCATTATTGAAATTCTTGTTTGAAAATTGCTTTGCAAGAAAAATGATTCACTTTTTTTTAATGCCTCCCAGGGAAAATGTCAGATTCTACTATTAGTTTGAGAAAACTACAGGGAATAATTATATTTTGTACCTGAATACAGAAGGAAAAATAATTATCAGCTCACTCTAATTTATAGTTAATATTCCTGTGCATATGTTTATGTTTTTGTTCCTAGCCAATAGCAGTCATTTTTGCCGTGGCTACCTCAACCCGCAGTGCATACTTTTCTCTTCTCTTCTCTTCTTCTAGGTTTTCCCATCACATGATTCCTGGTCCTCCTGGTCCCCACACAACTGGCATCCCTCATCCAGCTATTGTGACACCTCAGGTCAAACAGGAGCACCCCCACACTGACAGCGACCTAATGCACGTGTACGTATGTACCTGGCCTCCTCCATGAGCACCTTAAGACACTGAGCCTCACAGCCTTGCTGCTTCCCCACCACGACTGTTCTCTCCCCGTCTCTCTGGTTAGGAAACAGCATAGCTCTGCCTCAAAAGCCATGTCCCCGGGCACATTAAGCAGCTTGCTTCTCCCTGCGCTCATTCTGAATCTCAGGTTGGAAAGGAGCACTGACCTTAGCAGACCACAGGAACCTTGAGAAGTGGAGGACACAGCAGAGCACAGGCGTTCATGAATCTTGAGCTGTGCAGCCATTTACCACTGGTTTTTTTTGTTTTGTTTTAAGATTTATTTATTTGAAAGTCAGAGTTAGAGATGAAGAGAGAAAGAGAGAGCTTAAGAGACTTTCCATCTGCTGGTTCACTCCCCAAATGGCTATAACAGCCAAGGCTGGGCCAGGCTGAAGCCAGGAGCTTCTTCCAGGTCTCCCACGTGGGTTACCGACTCTTGGGGGGAACCTCTTACTACTTGAGTGAAGTAGATGGGAGGGTGTAAGGCACTTCCTTCTGGAATGCAATTACCGGGCCTGGGTTTCATCAGCACAGGAGTCCCTGCTGAGCCAGAGTTGTCTCAGACTGTTCGAGCAGGCATCAGTTAATGTACCCTAAAGAAACTAGTAACAGAGCTCCTCAGTTTAGAGCTGGTGGATGAGAGTGTGGCTGGGGGCGGCCCCATGTGGGGCCCATAAAACCCCTGCAAGTGCAAGCAAAGACCACGTACATTTCTTTGGGAAAGGATCTGTGGTTTCATTAGTGACTCTAAGTGGTCCTTGCCCCCCAGGAGGAGTTGAGAACTTCCGCTCAGCTTCTTCAGGGGGGGACCAAGGAACTCAAAGACATGGGCCTTAGAACCTCTTCACCATTCCAAAAACACTTGCATTTCAGGTTAAATGCTTCTCCAGCCATAGGCACTTTCTCAAATCACAGTACACTTACACAGAGTCACTGAGTGAGTGAGAGGCCCTGGGGGTTGGGTCGGTTGTGCCCAAACGTTTCATCCAATGTTTGAGAGTTGCTGTTGTAAGCTGATGTGTCCTGGGGGCTTGTGGAGAGCTGGGAGGGCTGTGCCCAGCCTGAGCTCCCCGATATAAACAGATGCCTCGCTTCTCCCCCTCCCCTCCCGTCTCTTCCTTGTTTCTTCTGACCCTTCCCCTGACCACCACCACCTTTTAGGAAGCCTCAGCATGAACAGAGAAAGGAGCAGGAGCCAAAAAGACCTCACATTAAGAAGCCTCTGAACGCTTTTATGTTATACATGAAAGAAATGAGAGCAAATGTCGTAGCTGAGTGTACTCTAAAAGAAAGTGCAGCTATCAACCAGATCCTAGGCAGAAGGGTAAGTAGTGGGATGGGATATAAATGTTTGTGGTGACCATGAAATGGCTTCACTGAAATCTGGCCAGATTTAGTTACCTGTCAGGTGGTCATTGAATGCCTTTGTATAACTGGCAAGCACTTTGGGAAATAATTAAGGGTATAAGATTTAATATAATCTTCAGGAGCATTAAATGGTATAATGCATGGCAAACAACTTAGATTATACCTACAACACAAGAAACTTCCCATAAATAACTATTCTTACCATTGTAATTTGTAAAGCAAAAATACTTACTGAGCGTCTTTTATGTGCCAGGCATCGTGCTAGGTATTAGGTAATCATTGCTGAATAAAACGAATAGGGTTTATTGGCTTTCTGGAGCTTGAAGAGTGCAGACATTGCACATAAAATCACTCAGTGAAAACTAACATTGTGATAAATTCTATGGATGGAATGGACAAGAATCTGTGAGAAAGCATTGAGGGAGACTGGAGAAGGGCCTTCGGAAACGGGTGTACTTCAGCAGGGACATGAGGGGGCCCATGGGGAACTGTAGACCCCAGTCAGTGTGCAGAAAGCTCATAGTCATTAGGAAGCTGCAGCAAGGCCTTTGGGAAGCCAGCCTGGCCAAGAGAGGTGGCCATGCCTGCTAAGACAGGAGCAGATCTGTTCTACTTTGAAACTCTAAATGGAAAAGAAGTTGTGATTCTAGAGATTGCTCTCTGATTCTTTTTTTTTCTTTATTTTTTTGAAGACTTATTTATTTATTTATTTGAAATGTAAAGTTACAGGGAGGGGGAGGGGACAGCAGAGAGGGAGAAGAATATTCTGTCCGCTGTTTCCCTCCCCAAATGGTTGCAACAGCCAGGACTGGGCCAGGCTTAAGCCAGGAGCCTGGAACTCCATCCAGGTCTCCCACGTGGGTGCAAGGGGCCCAAGCAGTTGGGCCGTCTTCCACTGGTTTCCTAGGTGCATTATTGAACTGGATTGGAAGTGGAGCAGCTGGGACTTGAATGGGTGAGCATGTCAATAGCCGGTGTCACTGGTAGGGGCCATAACCCACTGCACCACAATGCCAGCCCTGCTGTCTGATTCTTGAAGGGTATATATGCCATGTTCCTGGATTTTCCCCCTTTCTTCCTTCTTTCACTCATGCTGTGATATTTTTCTGAGTCACCGTTACACACCATCAGACTAAAACTAGAATGGACACTTTAAGATTCATTACCTAACAACCACCCAAAAGACTAATCTTGCAAGATGGGAATGGTTTTCGTTTAGGTATCTGAAGAGTGTTACAGAAAATTTTAATTTCTCTAATTCAGATTACAGTTGTGCTGTAATTAGAAATTTAGAAATGTTGCTGCTCTTCAAAGATGTGTGGTAGTTTCTTAATTTGTGGCCTTTGTAGGCTTGCTTTTTGCAACCTCTTGAGAAAATCATGCTCTGCCAGTGAGTATTCAGGTGGGGAGGGTCTAGTGGCCCCTGTGAGAATCATGTGCTGACTGCTGGCGATCACTTTAACCATGTGTGCGCCAAGCCCAGTGCTTTTGTGCATTCATAACGGAAAACATGCAGAAGGTAGCCAGTCCTCACGAAGAGGAGGGAAGCAGACCTTCTTGCTTTATTGATTCCCATTGGGTAGCATCCAAATGCAGCTATTTCCAATCTGCAAGACACCAGGGTTTCAGGGGTAGGGTGCGGTGGCAGATGATAGCTTTTCTGGTGTCCTGTGTGCAATGCCCTGTCTCCCTGTGGATTCTTAAACACTTAATAACAATAATTACAGTGATTCCCCAAGCCAGATCATAGCAGATGAGTGCGTCCCATCATCTTTGAAGAACTCCTCCTTAAAAGCCCAAAGGCTGATGACCGTTTTCCTGACACTCTCGAAGAAATCAGAGGGAGGGGAAAAGGTTGACATTGTGTAAAACTCTCTGCTTTTTCTTTTTTTCCTTTCATTTTATTTTTTGAGCTAAAGTCCCCTTGGCCCTCCAGCGGGAATTATTTTCCTGCTCAGAAGAGTAGGTGAGGATATGATATGGGGGTATGCTTCCTACTTTTAATGCACATTTCCAACAATTGCTACTTTCTCAGCTCCCTTAACCATCCCCAGATCCGAGCATGTGTCCTCATGGATGGTTCTCATTTGGGGTCTCTCTCTGTCTTTGATTTAGACACCTGTTTCTATTTATAGGGCTTTGAGATCCTTGATTAAGATCAGGTTTTCTATCCTTTCATAGCTCCCCTCTGGCAGGGCAGCCCCTGCTAGCTCTTTAAAGTCACTGGCTTTAAAATCATGAAGTTTTACACTGGGATAATTAGAGTTCTTAAAAGGGGATCTTAAATCCATCCTGCAACATTTTATGTTTTGATTTTTATTCATCTTTACTGTCTTTCTGCAATAGAAATGTTCATGTGAATTAATCAAGACTTTCTTAATTCATATTATAAATAAAAATAGCACAACTGTTACTTTAAAACAAGCAAGTTTTTTTTTTTTTTTTAATACCTTGCTGGCTATTAAGGAAATTCTATTTATAACAAATTTACTATCTGACTATTTTGGAACCACATAAATCTCTCCAATTAAATGAATTTTTTTTACCCTTGACAATTAAATTTGATTTTTAAAATACTTAACTCCTTATTTTTCAGTAAGCAAAGAGATGCAAAAACTTATTCTAGTCAGTTGGGTTTCAGAAATTCCTGTAACAAAAAAAAAAGGCAGTGTTTATATTATGTATTGGACTTTATTTTTGTTTTCAATACAAAAAACTTGTATGCCACTGTTTTACCTACTTTTCCAATCAGCAGGTCTGGTGCCTTGAAAATATCAGGGAACTCAAAAGCAATTGAAAATGCAAATAAATAGCTTCATCTGTGCCTTGCTTTTGCTCTCCTTGGATTTTATTCAGTTTTGTTTTAATCAGCCAGCATCTTTGTGTCAACGGAAGTTTCCTGCTTCAACTGAAAAATACCTAGTTGTTTGGGTGCAAGACCCAACCTTAACCCTGAAACACATTTTGGGGGCTTATATTCTTTAAGATTTCAGATTTTCTCAGCAATTTCTAAAGCTCCCATAAGTTACCTAAAATTATACTGATGTATTGCATCATAAAAGGTGTTGTATATAGAGAGTGATGCTTTGCAAGTGAATGAGCAAATGAGTTTAAAATGGAAGACCACTGTTTTGTTTTTCCACTTTTGTTAACACTTAGCTACTGTGGTAAATACCAATCAGTGTTTTCTCAAAAAAGTCAAGGGTGATCTTTTCCACTGTGTCCAGTTGGGTCCTCCCCACCACTCTCCCGCTCCACAGGGGTCTGTAACTCCAGGTTGCTAGAGGCTGTGTGACTTTTCCTTCCTGCTGTATACTGCCACAGCTGCCGCTGCCCCAGACGTGCCTTCTGCTTGTGCTCAGTGTGTTGAATTGTGTTTTCTGCTAGTGCAGAGATCTGTGCTTCAGGGCTTTTTTTTTTTTTTTTTTTTTTTTTTAAGGATTGTTTTCTCTGTCACCTCCCCCTGATTTATTTTTAAACAAAATCCTGTTACCTGATTTGCCTTTAGGCTCAGGCCACGTCCTGCTGTGTGTCCTGCTTTTTACCTTTCCATTTAAAAAATGGATCATGTGGGCCGGTGCCGCGGCTCACTAGGCTAATCCTCCGCCTTGCGGCGCCGGCACACCGGGTTCTAGTCCCGGTTGGGGCGCCGGATTCTGTCCCGGTTGCCCCTCTTCCAGGCCAGCTCTCTGCTGTGGCCCAGGAGTACAGTGGAGGATCCCTGCACCCCATGGGAGACCAGGGTAAGTACCTGGCTCCTGCCATGGGATCAGCGCGGTGTGCTGGCCGCAGTGGCCATTGGAGGGTGAACCAACGGTGAAGGAAGACCTTTCTCTCTGTCTCTCTCTCTCTCACTGTCCACTCTGCCTGTCAAAAAATTAAAAAAAAAAAAAATAGATCATATATTCGATCCAACACAGAGGGCCCTGCTTTAAGGGACTTTCAAAGGAAATAAGGTCTGTTGTCCTGCCTGTGGGCATGGGCTGGAGACTGGGGCAGGAGGGAGCCCTGCCTGGAAGGTGCTGTTGTCAGACAGGCACTGTTGCTTGAAGGCAGCTTCTTAGCTACACTGAAGGGGGCACAGTCTGAGTCGGTGAGGACTTGGACATAGCCTCCTCCTGGAGAATTTTTCCCTTCTCATTAATCTCTTTCCCTGTTTCCTATATCCTCCTTCTCCCATGTCTTTTTATCACTAAAAAAAGGAAAGAAAGCAAAATCAGTACTCAGGGTGGCCATGAATGGGGAAGGATCGTCTGACCTGAAACAGGGAGGAAGCAAAATGGGAAGCTCCACACCTGAGAGCCACAGAGAGCAAGAGTGGGGAGGCCCCTGACTGGGGCGGGGGGAGTGTCCAGGTCTCTTGCTCCCACGGCTGCCATCCCCTCAGTGCTCATGGTTCTCCAAAGCCCACCCAGTTCTCCCTAGAGGGTTCGGCTGGGAGTTCCTGGCATCCGGGAAGGAGGGAGAAATGCTTGAAACTGTCTGCTGGGACGTGGGGAGAGTCATGTGCACACATGCAAAACAGTGTGCAAACCTAAGCTGCTTAAAATCCCAAATGGGTGCCTTGCCTACGTCAACCATTCTGTGACACAGGGTCTGTGATTTATCAGTTACGTAAAAAGTAAGTGGAAAGTTGGACAGTCCGCAGCTATGTTCTCCGTATCAGAAACCGTAGCCTCAAATTCTAGATGGTGAAGTATGCTTGGGTAATGCTCCTTGCTTTCCACAAAAAGCCTTAAAATATGCCTCTGTGAGTATACAGCGCTGTCACTGTTCCCTCTAGATAACTGGCGTGTATGGAAGCGTGAGGAGATGGTGCAGACACGGAGACAGACCGAGGTCTGATGTCTTGCCCACCCCATAGACTGGATCATATGATTAAGGTTTCAGATGCTTTATAGGACAGAGTGGGAGAGAGAATGTCTGATTTAAAAGACATCTGGAAATTATCACATTTTGCATAAGTAAGTGGTACTTGGGTTCAGAGTATGCACCAAACGATGAGAAAGGGTGAAGTTGGGTGTTGAGGTTCGGAAGTTCTGTTTGATTTACACTGATAAATAGAAAGGGTGAGTGACAGAGATCATTTTACTTTGAGTACATTGAGGGACTTTGATGTGTTTCATGTGATATTGGAGAACAGGGTAGAGACCAAAGCTTGAGTTCTGCTGCAGCCACCAGACTCCAAGTGGATTTCTGCTGCACTTGGTCTTCTGCCATTTAAAAATGAATCAAAGGTTAAATGCTTAATACTTTCATTTTGCAATGTTTAAAACAGAAAATACACAACTATTTTTGCTTACTTTTTTTTCCTGCTTCCCTCTCTCATTTTAGTGGCATGCCCTCTCCCGTGAGGAACAGGCTAAATATTATGAATTAGCACGGAAAGAAAGACAGCTACATATGCAGCTTTATCCAGGCTGGTCCGCAAGAGACAATTATGTAAGCCTCTTCTCCGTACCAGTGCCTCTCTACTTTCCACTCATTCTGTTTCTTTTGGTTTCAAGAACAAATGTGTTTTAGGGCATTTATAATGCTAGTTCTATTTCCTATTCTTGCAAGTTAATGAACTTTGTAATAAAGGGTTCATGGATTTATTATATTATGAAAGCCTTGAGCTGTCATAATTTCTTGTTTGTTTTTTCGCTGTGGGTGCTAATGCATTTTTTAAATAAAGATTTTTTTGAAAGTCAAAATGTAAAACCTTATCATTAAAGTGTTGGTAAGAACAAAAGAAAAGCTTGTAATCTTGCCATGTAAAGGCAACATTAATAGTTAACAGCCTCCATTATTTTTTTCTGTATGTGCTCTTTATCATTCACATGTATATATAGGGGTACTTCAAAAAGTTCATAGAAAATGTAAGTAAAAGATGTTTGTTATAAAAGCAACTGAAGTCATGCTTTTTTTTTTCATAATACGCATTTCCATGAACTTTCTGAAGACCTGTGTGTGTTGTGTGTGTGTGTGTGTACCCTTTGTGTCATGCATCTAACTCTTCTATGTAAAAAGCATTTTTCTGTGATGCATAGTGCTTATGTACATTAACATTCCATTGAGTGAATATCCAAGTTTACCTAGCCATTTTCATTTTTTTCCTGCTTTCAGATATTTAAGTTGCATTTTTTTCTTAGAAATATAAGAATCCTGCAGTTACATGTCTGTGCTTAACATTTTGTTTTTTTGTTTGGTGTGCGTGTACTTAGAATTGTTATTTCTGTAGGATAGATTCATAGTAGTGGAAAATTGTTGAGTTAAAGGATGTCAATATTTTAAGGTTCCTGATATATATTATCAGATTGCTTCCTATAGGAATTATAATATTTTACAATTCTTTTTTTTAAATGTACAGCTTTTTAAAAGATTTACTTATTTATTTGAAAGGCAGAGTTAAGAGAGAGGAGGAGAGACACAGATAAAGAGGCCTTCCATCTACTGGTTCGTTCCCCAGATGGTTGCAGGCCAGGAGCCAGGAACTTCTTCCAGGTCTCCCATGTGGGCCCAAGGACTTGGGCCATCTTCTGCTGCTTTTCCCAGGCCATTATGAGGGAGCTGGATTGGAAGTAGAGCAGCTGGGAATTGAATGGGCGCCCATCTGGAATGCTGGTGCTGCAAGCTGTGGTTTAACCCACTTTGCCACAGCGCTGGCCCCATTATTTTCCACTTCTTAAAAACAGTGTATTTAAGGGACTGGCCACAGACTAATTGAAACATCTTTTATTCCATTATAATATATGTGACACCTACTATGCATTTTATTCAGATACAATAGGTATTATGTATTTTAAGTGCAAAATTATGGGGCGGGGGCCAGGATCTTTGATCCACTGGTTCATGCCTCAAGTGGCTGCAATGCCTGGGACTGGTCCAGGCCAAAGCCAGGAGCCAGGAACTATATCTGGGTCTCCCACATGGGTGCAGGGGCTCAAGCATTTGGGTCATCTTCTGCTGCCTCCCCAAGCACATTAGCAGGGAGCTAGATCTGAACTGTGCCAGCCAGAACTCAAACCACTAGTCAGATCTGAACTGTGCCAGCCAGAACTCAAACCGCTAGTCAAACAGGAATGCAAGCATCAGAGGCAGCAGCTTAACCCGCTGTGCGACAATGCCAGCCCCATTCATGTGGTCTTGATAGGGCAAAGACTGTCTTTCTGAGAAGGTACATTATAAACTGTATACTTGATGTTTTATATTTTATAGAGGAAAATATTTTTACTGTGTCTGAGTTCACTCGCCCTGCTTTAACAGAACACCATAGACTGGGTGGCTTAGAACAGCAGCCATCTGTTCCTCACTGTTCTGGAGGCTGGGAGACGATGATGAGGTTCAGTTAGGCGTGGGGTCTGGTGAGGGCTCGCTCAGTTCCCCATCTTGAAGTGTCCTTCCAAGAAGGAGGGGGGAGTGAGCTCTCCAGGTCCTCCCCCACCCTCAGCCTTCGTTTAAATCAAAGAAAGTATTTCTATTTTATTTTTAAGATTTATTTATTTATTTGAAAGCCACAGTTACACACAGAAGGAGAGGCAGAGAGAGAGAGACAGACAGAGAGGTCTTCCATCCGCTGGTTCACTCCCCAAATGGCCGCAAAGACCAGAGCTGCGCAGATCCAAAGCCAGGAGCCAGGAGCTTTTTCTGGGTCTCCCACGTGGGTGCAGGGACCTAAGGACTTGGGCCATCTTTTACTGCTTTCCCAGGCCATAACAGAGAGCTGGATTGGAAGTGGAGCAGCCGGGTCTCGAACTGGCACGCATATGGAATGCCGGTACTGCAGACGGCGGCTTAACCCACTACGCCACAGCGCTGGCCCCAAGAAAGTATTTCTTTTCATTTTTTTTTTTTTATTTGAAAGAGAGAGGCAGTGAAAGATCTTCCTTCCACCTGGCTCAGTTCCCAGCTACCCCCAACAGCTGGGACTGGGCCAGGCCCAAGCTAGTAGCCTGGAACTCAATCCTGGTCTCCCACTTGGGGGATTGGAATCCAAGCGCCTGAGCCATCACCTGCTGTCCCCCAGGATGCACATTAGCAGGAAGCTGGAATTGGGATCAGAGTCAGGACTTGAACCCAGGCACTCCAGTATAGGATGCCTGCATCCCTGGTGGAGTCTTCACCACTGTACCAAACAAAGTGCCCCCCCCCCCGTTCTCTTATTTTGTAATGGAATTGATTCTGTTCCTGAAGGCTTTGCCCTCATGCCCTGATCACCTCCCAGAGGCTCCTCCTCTTTGTGCTATCACTTTGGGGTCAGGATTTCAACATGTCTGTTTGGGGGGAACCCTTGCATTTGTCTGTAGCAGAGGTCATATTCCACGTACTGAGAGTAGCATTAGAAATGTTAGCCAGGATAGTCCCTCTAGAAAAGAGCATGGATGGCGCCATTAACCAGTGAAGAGTTTGGCACGTGGCCCTGCCAGGGATGCTGCTGTCCAGCTTAGGGCACGAGGACAGGCAGGACAGTGGTGGCAAGCAGGTGTGTCTGAGGTCATACAGCTAGAGACCCCAGAACTTTCTGAGCGCACATGTTAACTGACTCCTGGGAGTGGATCGCACAATCTGTTCCTGTTTTGTGTTCCCCAGACTCACTGGCTACAACTGTGACACAGGAAGTGAGAGGCCAACCGTCTTCTATGAGCGGCTGCACAGTCAACCCTCCACCATGGTTGTCGGGGTTGTTTTAGTAACTGCCACCTGCCGATTGTCCGGAACTGGCTTGTGGTTCCTTCCCTGTTATTTTCTAAGCCTCACAACAACCTAGTGGTGTAAATGTTATTATTCCATTTTTCAGGTGAGAAAATTGAGAGGTTGGAGATGTTAAGTGATTTGTCCAAGGCCCTGTAGTAGGTGGCTAAACTGCAGTTTACATGCAGGAGTCCCTGACTTCAGACTCCTGTGTGGATTAGTTCAGTCGTGCGGTGCCTGTTTAAGATGACTGCCCCAGCTGAATTTTTGTCCCTGAGCCAGGCTTCTGTTCTCTGCACCGTAAACACCGCCTCTCAGTACAGAGCCTCCGTCCTGTCCTTTCTGTGGGAGGCTCAGTCCCTCAGCTGACGGGTTTTCACTGTGTCGCTTCCTGATCCCATCCCATCTCTTACCTGTGTTTGCCTAAGAGGAGAGAGCTGACCTATGTAAGAGCTTTACTGCACTGTGAACTTGTATAGATTGAAGTGATGAATTTTAACTTTTTAAAAAGACGTAAAAGGGCCGGCCCCATGGCTCAATAGGCTAATCCTCCAACTGCGGCACTGGCACCCCGAGTTCTAGTCCCAGTTGAGGCGCCGGATTCTGTCCCGGTTACTCCTCTTCCTGTCCAGCTCTCTGCTGTGGCCCGGGAGTGCAGTGGAGGATGGCCCAAGTGCTTGGGCCCTGCACCCGTATGGGAGACCAGGAGGAAGCACCTGGGTCCTGGCTTCAGATCAGCATGGTGCGCCGGCCAGCAATGGCCATTGAGGGGTGAACCAGCGGCAAAGGAAGACCTTTCTCTCTCTCTCTCTCACTGTCCACTCTGCCTGTCCAAAAAAATAAAAATAAAAAAATAAAAAGACATAAAAGAAACTCACATGTTCCCTCCCTCTCTTTCCCTGTCTTGCTCTCTCCTTGTCTCACTCACCGTGTGGGGATAGAAAGAAAGCAGTTTTCAGGGCGCGAGTATAACGTGAATGTACCTGTAAAGCTTTTCCTCTGCCCACTTTTGACAGGAAGCTGTTTTGCATATCTCTTGAATGAAGGGAAAACCCAACTTTGTTCATTCCAATTCTGTAACAGTCAAAAGGACGCATATCAGTTCCTAAGGCAAACAGAAGCCAAACAAGTGACAGTGCTTAAGCTAAAGATTTTGTCCTTAAAATAGCAGTTCAGGAATAGAACCTAAAGATAAAAAACCAAGGCAACTAGTGCCCAAACACTGTCCCTATCCGCACTGAGATCATGTAAAATAGATACCTCAGTGTTTTCAAAGGAAAATGCCCTATTCAGTGGTGTCACAGGTTTTCATGACTTCAGTTTGTTTTTATGACTTCGGCTAATAACTGAAGTTTTCACCACATTTTTTGGATGAAATTAGTCAAATGCCTGTGTTGTTGGAACTTTCAAGTTGAGTGCTTCATGTGTCCCAGTATTATCTGTACTTCTGTGTTGACCACACATGAGTTTTGTTTTCCTCATGGGAAGAACCCCTTAGTTCTTCCTATCTAATGTAAATATTGATTTATGCCGACACTGGCTGGCAGCTAGAATACATGGTGCTGCTTCCCTCTAGCTCTAGGGCTTGCACCCACAGCCTCGGGGAGTTGCTGCCCCCTATCTCAGCTGTGTTCCCAGTGTGTGGGAGCTGGTGAAGACCTGCCCTGACCAACCCGAGGCCAGGCACCAAGGGGCAGACTGCCTTAGAGCACCCATGAGGAGATCAGTCATGGCTGTGAGCTTGAGTCACCAGGAGCTTGGAAGGGAAGCCCTACCTCTGCCTGAATGGGGGGGGGGGGTGAGGTGCAGGGTGCAGAAGATTCTGGAAGAGCTGATACTTGAGACCTATGACTGCAAGGAAATAGGAGCTCAGAAGAAAAGGTGATGCACATTCTGTTGCAGTTAGTTGAAACTACCTGGTACAGGTTGGTCCTTCACAGAAGTGGAATGTGGCTGTCCTCTATTTTTGAGAGGTAAGAGTTAGGAAAAAAAAATGGAAATTAAGACCACTATCAATGGGAGCTAAATACTTTACTTTGTCATGGAGGTGATTTTGAAATAGATTTAAGATTGCGTGCATATAATATGTGCTGTGCCTAAGGAAGTAAGCTTCTTCATTGCTGGGAACAAGTCTGTGGCATCATCTTCAACTTTCCAGGGTCTATCTTAAGCTTCTACCTCTCTCCTTGGTTAGGCCATGCCCATGCCACAAGGGCCATGGATATGTGGTCAGCACTGTGGAGCCTTGAGTTCAGGGTAGAATTTGCAGTAATGTTTACACTGAGCACTAGTGGATTCTACTTCTGTAGTTAATAAGAAAAGAAATGCCACATGGAGCTAGCTTGCTCTGAAGGAGGTTCTGTGGCCACAGCCCTAGTCCATCAGAGTGTGTGTGTGTGAGTGATAGAGCGAGAAGGCATCAGTATCCTTTGTTCTCTGCCTGCCTGTACTCTCACGTCACATTCATTGAGCGCACAGTGCAGTCTGTGAAATGACAGTGTGCCTCTCTTCTTCCAGGGTAAGAAAAAGAAGAGGAAGAGAGAGAAACTACAGGAATCTACATCAGGTAGGTACCGGGTGACTTTGTGGTCAGTTCTCACGCTTCTGCCAAACACCTTTCAGATTTGCCTGCGTCCTTCCACAGCTCCGTTGTGTGATTGTAGTTTGTGATTCTTTAACTCTGCTCTCCTTCCTAAAATCCTTTATAATATTTTTAAAGACTTTTAAAATGTGTGACTGTGGGAAGGTCCATGTCAAAACTTTCCCAAAATCTGTCACCTGGAATCCTGGTTGTGAACTGTGGTTTCTGCATTATTTCTGTTATCTGTGTTCTTGCTGTAACTCTTCTTTTTTTCTATATACATAGCAAAGATACATTTTTATGATTTATACAATATGTTACCTTCTATTCCCTTGAGAACCTTTTCTGTGATTTGGGTTTTTAAAAAATGTAAACCATGATGATAGAGTTTATCTTTCTTGTACATTAATACATGGCATCATTGAGGTCCCACTATTCCCTTTTTTCCTTGCATTAAAAATAAGGCCACTACTTGTACTGCACAATAAAAACGGCTGGTATAAGAACCATGAAAAAGCAAACGAGTCCACATGGTGTTGTAGCTGCTGCATATTTGGAATGTACAAAAACTTCTTGAATAAAAATTTGTTAAAGACACAATTTTCTGCAGGTACAGGTCCAAGAATGACAGCTGCCTACATCTGAAACATGGTAAGAACGACTCTCTGGTCCTCCTGCTGCCGTCGCTGTAGAAAGAGGCACTTGCTTGTGAAGCTTCTTGCTCATATTGATTCCATTCAGCATTGCTCCTGAAACAGGAAAACGCCCCCAGAATCAAATCCGTGCTCTTAACAACCTGATGGCGTTTGTACCGGCTACGACTTGGCAGTATAGTTTGCTTTTGTCTCTCCTCTTCTCTCCTCTTGCCTATCCGTTCTTTCTCCATCCCCTTTCCCCTAACTCTTCCTTCACAACCACTTCTCTCTGACTAGAGGCAAAGAAGAAAGCACAAACCGGGAGCAATTTGGCAAGCTCAGGGGCAGCTTGGAAGGGCAACATGCTGCCCCAGGACCTTTGCTCTCTGGGGACTTTCTCTTAGCTGACATGCTGTGTGAATACTTGAAAGTAATTTATTTATTTCTAATGAGAAAGGTACATGGGCTTTATTGGTGATGTTGTTGCTTGAGACGATAGCACAGGCACGTGTTTGATTAACTGTGTTTCTTCTTTCCAGTAAGTTTTGTATTGGTCCCCATTGCTGCGTCTCTTTCTTGTATTTAATGAGTTGTATTTATTTCACCCATTCTAATTCACTGTTTTATCTACATGACCACCAGCTGAGAGAATGTGGCTTTGTAAGTTAAGGCCCCTCCAGTCCTCATCCGGTCAAACTGCCAATCACCAATCTCCATCTTTGGGGCCGCCCTGTCCTTGCTCATATACTGCCACCGCCCCAGCCCAGGCGATCTCACTTTGCACCTGCCCCAGCCCTTGGACCACTTCCTGCCTCCAGACTGAGTTTTCAGGCAGTCCCTCTTCCTTGTTGCTCCCAGGGGATTCTCTAAAACAGATTGATTGGCTCACTTCCCTGTTAAGAAAGTCAGTCTTGCGCATGGCCTGAGGATAAGGGAACAGGTCACTTAGTGAGGATCTGCTTCTCTCAGCTCGGGCTTGCTGTCTGCCTCTCCTCTAGGGCACTCCCAGTTCCTTAGATCACTGGAGGGCACAGGCTTCTCTGTTGAGGAACCGACGGAGCTGCACAGTGTTCTTAGAGGAGAGCGTTACAGGCGGACTGTCTGGTTTGCAACTAAACCAGATGACCACCACTCTAAATGTTTAGCACATTTGATGCCGACATTCCAAGCAGCTTCCCAGTGGTACTAAGTTGATGTGATTTTTAAATCCGCTACAAGCCTGGGCGATCTGTTTTGGCTTTTCAACTTTCCTCCTCTGTGAAATGGGAGCAGTGACCGCTCCTGGCATGTAGTTGGAGCTCACTCAGCATTGTTCCTTCCTCCTCCTGCTGAGACCTGAGTCAGTCATCCTCTCCCGGTGAAGCTTTTTTGATCTTTATTCAATCCCCCGGGTTTTTCAGGATCCCGTCCTGGTGGGTTCTGTGGTATCGAAACTCTTCCAAGCTAGTTCTGAGAGGCAGGCTTTTCTCTTAAGTGAAAGAAGAACATTGCTCCATAGAGCCGCCACACAGCGCATCCAAAGGCTCACGTGCCCACAAGTGCCATCCACACCTTCTGTACTGTAAGGACTGTTTACTGAGGGGCTGCCTCTGAGCAGCCTCCCGGCTCTGCCATCAGGAGTGCAAAGATGCCCTAGCCACGGCCCCTGCCCTGGGAGCCGGCGGCAACACAGGTGTAAGCCTGGTGGTGTGCACTTGCTGCACGCACTGTGCGTTGTTTGTCTTGTTTTGTTTCTGAAAGAATGCATGCCCGATTGCTTAGAACTGCCAGCAGCCCTTTGCACATGCTGCTTCTCCACAGAAAGCCTCAGACGCACAGCATGCCAGGGGCTGACACTCGGCACTGTCCCGCGCCTTTGCACCAGAATCTTCAAAGCTAACCGCTGCTACCAAAAGGCAGGCAGAAGTGTGTTTTTGCACCTCAAGAGTTTGGTGTCCCTCGTGATTAATATTACATAGTATTCTAGGGGCTGGCGTGGCAGTGCAGTGGGTAAAGCCGCCACCTGGGATGCCGGCATCCCATATGGGCTGCAGTTCATGTCCTGGCCGCACTTGTGTTCCCTGCAGTGGGGCCATTCATGTGTGAGACCCAGAGGAAGCTTCTCGCTTTGGTTTGGCCCAACCCTGGCAGTTGCAGCCATCTGCGGAGTGAACCAGTGATGGAAGACTTGTCTTTCTCTGCCTCTCTGACTTTCAAATAAATAATAAGTAAATCTTGTTAAAAATTTACATGGTTCCAGCGCCGCAGCTCACTAGGCTAATCCTCCGCCTTGTGGCGCTGGCACACCGGGTTCTAGTCCCCGTCGGGGCGCCGGATTCTGTCCCGGTTGCCCCTCTTCCAGGTCAGCTCTCTGCTGTGGCCAGGGAGTGCAGTGGAGGATGACCCTACATCCCATGGGAGACCAGGATAAGTACCTGGCTCCTGCCTTCGGATCAGCGCAATGTGCCGGCCGCAGCGCGCCAGCCACGGTGGCCATTGGAGGGTGAACCAACGGCAAAAGGAAGACCTTTCTCTCTGTCTGTCTCTCTCACTGTCCACTCTGCCTGTCAAAAAAAATTTTTTTACATGGTATTCTGATGTAAAAGATGACATTATTTTTGTTCTAAAATATATCCTACACACTCCTCTTCTAAAATACAGGTTGAGTATCTCTAATCTGAAAATCTAAAATCCTTGGAAATCCAAAACTTTTTAAAAGCATTCACGTGCTACTCCAAAAAGTTTTGGATTTTCAGAGCATTTTAGATTTTCAGATTAGGGATGCTCAGCTGGTAAAGTCTATGCATTTATTCCATACTCTGAACAGCTGTGATATCTGAAACATTTCTGGTCCCAGGCATTTCAGATAAGGGCTACTCAACTCAGCCCATACTAGGAAGTCATGGCTGTCCTTGTGCTTTCCCAATAATCTGGGCAAGAAAAACAAAAAGACCACCTCCACTGCCCTGAAACACACACACACACACACACACACACACACACACACAACTTCTCATCAGGCACCAGCCTCTGTGCAAGGTGTCATGTCACGAGAACCTCTAGGGGCCTCCCCTCCCAGTCCCGGACCAGCCGCACAGCCACTGTCCTATGGAGAGCAGAACTGGCAGACATTTGACAAGAGTTACTGGGCAGAGGGGAGCTCAAGAGTGGCACGCACAGACTGCAGTCAGTTAGCAGTGATAGTTTGCCTGCTGTCCCCTCATCCCTTTCTCAGACACTGAGCAGCTTTACCGGATGCCTAGTGAACACAGGCAGAGTCGTGAGATGCAGAAAGGCGGTGTTGGATGGAGCGAGGAGGGTCCTTCTCTCGTGCTCTTGGCATTGCTGTGAGAGTGGTTAATGAAAATAAACAGGAAGAGAGCCTCACAGTGGGGCACCCTTGGGGGTTCTGCTCTAGGCTGGTGGTCAGGAAAGGCTCCTCTGAGGAAGTGACCTGGGAAACAACCACTGTTGTTATCCCTGGTACGTGGAAGGGCACTGTGTTCTGAAACAGGCAGTGAAGAGGAGAGACGGGAGGGGCAGAGCGTTGCAGCAAGTGTGGATGAGGAGTGAGGCCCCCAGGCCTGTGCAGCTGGCTCAGGTCCTGCCGTTGTGAGCAAGAGGCTTACTTATGCCTGACAGCCTCTGAGATCAGCTTTCTGGTCTACACTGCCTCCCGGTGTTCCTTTCCTTCCTGATCTGGAATCATCATTGTAGCATCTGAGTGATTCTTTGTAACCATAAGACTCCTACACAATCTGGTTGCTCTGTCTTCTCCTACACACACCCCACCCCACCCCCACCCCCAGCATGACCACCTCTCCTCTGCTTTGGGCTTGATTCCCGCTGTTGTGATCAGTGGACCTTACTGGCTCTTAGTTTTCCAGACCACAGTCTGTGGAAACAGTGGAGGGCAGATAAAACATGTGATGTGAACCAGATCTACAAAGAGTGATTTGAAACCTGTGTCCATGTGCTGAAGCGACTCCCCCAGGGAAAGTTTTTTTTATTTTTTTGAGCGGGTTGAGTCCTCTTATGTGCACGGTGAAGCTGAATGCTATCCTTGTGTCCTTAAAGAACACTATTAATTTAAGTCTTTTAAGTTCAGACCAGCATGTATGTAGCTCAGATCCTAGAAAACTCTCACGTCTATGAACCATAAGGACGTTGCCTATTGAGAAGGAAAGGTCTCTAACCGTGTTACTCTCTCCGAGGTGTGTGGGTTTCTTGGAGTGCCTTCCTACCTTTGGTGGGAGACACCACCGCAGTCCCCGGCCTCCTGCAGCCCTGTGCACAGGGTGGCCTGTTGGGCAGCTCCTCGCACCCCAGCTGTGTTCCCCTCTCCCGGGTGTGTTTCTGAATTCAGGCATCAGCTTTCGCTGTGGTGAGGTCAGTGTGAAACAAAGCACAGGGACTGGCAGCCCACTTGACACTGTGCAGCGGCTTTCGGAGCACTCGGGAATGACCGGAGGCCGTCCCCAAGCCGTGAATCTTCTGAGGAAGCCGAATCCAAGCTTTCAGGTTTTGGACTACCTGTCATTTGTGGGAGTTCTGGGAGGCCAGGGCCCCCAGGAACAAGACTGCACACACTCCTGCATGCCCACCTGGAAGGCGGCTGTTGTAAACCCCAGACATTTGTGCATTCATTCACTCGGCAAGCATCTAGTGAGGGGCACCATGAGCCGAATGCTGCCTTAGGCAGGGAGGGCACTCGCCGACAGGACTCTGCTTCTGCCGGGGGAGCTCCAGTTTAAGAAGGTACAGGCCGGCGCCACGGCTCACTAGGCTAATCCTCCGCCTAGCGGCGCCGGCACACCGGGTTCTAGTCCCGGTCGGGGCGCCGGATTCTGTCCCGGTTGCCCCTCTTCCAGGCCAGCCCTCTGCTGTGGCCAGGGAGTGCAGTGGAGGATGGCCCAGGTGCTTGAGCCCTGCACCCCATGGGAGACCAGGAAAAGCACCTGGCTCCTGCCATCGGATCAGTGCGGTGCGCCGGCCGCAGCGCGCCGGCCGCTGTGGCCATTGGAGGGTGAACCAACG